GCATTTTTAGCTGAAAAAGTGCTAAATTCTGTTTGCCCATGCATGCGATCACATTCACAGTTTCCGAGTGCTCGATAGGCCTTGGCACGCCGCTTTGTTGGAGGGCAACAACTTGGTGAAGCTTGTACCCGGTGTACACAATGCTGCAAAAAGTGGGGTTTTTGAACTTTACTTCCTGTTTTGCCTTTCGTGGACCCATAATAGTCCATCAGCCAGTGGTGCCAAAGTGAGTGCCCTGTTGCACTTACAAATCGAACACCTGGAGCTGACATCAATCGACAGCAAAAGCACCACTGAATCCGACCTGCCTACTTTCCCTGGCGAAACTCTTGCACTCCTTTTGCAGTGCGCCTTGGAAGTTCGACAAATTTCTTCTTCTTCGTCAGCCATTACGAGGTTTTCCATCCGTTTTATTAGGACATCCAATGCGTCTTCAGTGAAAAACGTGGAGTTTTGTCAACGTGTGGTGTGGTTTTCCGTGGCGATCGACCTAAAATTGCGAAATAAATCGCCGTCGATTTGAGCAGAGGTGAGTTGGCTTGGAGCACGTACAGATTCTAATATTATGTGTACATGCGCACCTAGGCCTCGGCGGGTAATGCTAGTTATTTCAGCTCAAAATGCTTTTTGCATTGCTAGTTATTCGGTCATATGATGCTCATTAGAATGCTAATTTGGACTTGTAATGCTAGTTGAAAAGGCAATGTGAACCACTCATATGGCATTGTGTCATAATGTAAGTCACACTGCACGGAATACTGCTATTGGAAGTACCTAGTACTTTGAAAGTAAGAAAAGGGTTTGCTCCCCACACCGGAGCTCGCGCTATTCCGCCGACTTTACTTGACACTTGACTGACTCACGACTGCCATCCAGAGCACACGAGAAGTCCATCGAACCTTCGACTCGGCAAACCTGCAAGAAAGCACCACTCCCTGCTCAATACACAGTGTTTCGGGGAATTCACCCCTCATCAGTTGAGCTTGAGTAGGCTGAGGAAGATTGTGCCTGAAGAGCACCACTTATATAGTGCTCTCCAGGCACGACCATCACCAGGGATACAAACTTACAGAGACGCTCCGTTTTCAGCGCGACAAACACCTCGTGAGCACCAGATAGCAGCGTGAGTCAGTGGTGATGGTCGTGCCTGGAGAGCACTATATAAGTGGTGCTTCCTTACTTTTAGCTCTCCACGTTCCTTATTTTTCCAGGGATCATTCCTGAAGGTATGTATTCGGATGCTCAATTAAATAGAACAGTGAAAGAGATGTGTAATGGAACAACACTCTACAAGTAGGCGAACAACAATTTTATTGTAATTTGAATCCAGGCACACGTGTAATACGGAAACTGCAATGGTTTACACTGCAAATCTTCTCGATTTGCAAGATTTTTCCCGTAATTCACAAAATCTGAAAGTTCATTCCTGAAACGCGCATGGCACTGATTGGAGATTGGGTTTAGGTCACAACAATGGCTGTCGACGAAATGCCAAAAATGGTCACTTTGTCGGCTTCCCCCTGCAGAGCGTGCAAGTCGTGTACCCTTTTTATTTGCGGATTCGGTGTACAGGGCACCTAAACTCCCCATTGAGGCCAAAATCAAGTATTCGATTTCTAAGTGCAACAGGGTGCTTGAATTTGACGACTTTTGAGTTCTTGGCTGATGGACTATAAATAGAAGAGTGCGTAATCATTTCTCAGCTTGGTTTCATATCTGAACATGTATCATGGCTATGGTGCTCTTTTAATTCGCACTTAGTGCTTTTCGCGTCCCTCAAAATATTATGCTGAAAAAGTGCTCTTTTTTCAATGAAAACAGGCAAAAAGTGCTGTTTTCTTCAGTGAAGCATAGCCATGATACATGTTCAGATATGAACCCAAGCTGAGAAATGAATACGCAATCTTCTATTTATGGGTCCACGAAAGGCAAAACAGGAAGTAAAGTTCAAAAAACCCACTTTTTACAGCATTGTGTACACCGGGTACAAGCTTCAACAACTAACTAGTACTTTTTGGCCCCCCCCCCCCCCTAGGTTTTGGCGGATAATGTTCGGTAATATGGGATATAATGCTCTCAGTAATGCTCCACAAAAGGCCATATAATGCTCCAAATAATGCTGATAATGCTCCGCCGGATGGAATATAAACACCTGAACCTTGCGGTATTGGGCTAAGAAAAACACTATAATATTGCACCCATGCTATGATAAACACATAATACAATATCAGGTAAACATGTACGCGAGGTACAAACACATAGTCATATTGAGGCGGCACAAAGGGGATACGCCAAGAAAGACTCCTTGACCAGCTTTTGCTTCTGAGTTTCCCTCTTCAAACGGGACTTTCCTTGTTTGTGTCTCGCGGTAGCAATATGGGACATGATTATACTCTTCTTCCCTGACAATGTTGTATGGCATGCCAGGCACACTAACTTGCCACAGTCGCTTTTGAGCGGCTCATCTGGGAACTCCCGCACCTGTGTTTCGGCACTAATGGCCACTTCAGTGCTCTGTCCATGAGCTACTCGCGTCCGTTTAGAAACATTTTCAGACTTGGTAATACAATATGTAGCTGTTTTCTGAAAAGACCGCTTCCTCGCCATCGCGGCAGTATGTGCAGTTTCCAACTCGACGACGTCACTATCATCAGAGGACTCCGCCAAAAGCTCATCTGGGGAAAGCCCAGCTTCCTGCCCATCCCAAGAACGGCATCGCGGCGAGTCAGCCATCAGCGTTGGCTGGTAGTTAGCTGGTCTTACACAATGGTCAGTGTCCGGTGAAAGTCCAGCGTTACTCTTCGACAAAGACATGGACTCTTGCTTCGATGAAAAATGTTTTTTTGTAACATTGTGCCGTGGACGGTAACCGGGTAAGTTCTGGAATGTGTACGTGTGCGCACCTCCACCGTTCCATGCTGGCTCACATTAGTTTCGTTGGTTCGGCGTTGTTACCATGGTTACCTGGATCTTCAAAAAGTAAGTAACTGTTAGTCGGTACTAGCAGTAGTGTTGTTAGTTGCTGGCTGTCGTCATGGTCGTGGCCGAAGATAGACTTCCGGGACCGGAAGTTTCTGCCAGAGTTTCCACACTGTGCTGGACCACAGCTAGCTAGCACTTGGGCGTGGCACTGCGTGCCACGATCTGTTTGGTACCATGACTGTATGATGTGTACGGTGGTATATCGCTTGTACTTGTAGCAATACATCGCGTATTGTAATGTTGTCAATCAAAGACCAACGCTATAGGCGATACGAATCTGTACATGACGAATTTACGATGTGTGTAGATCTACTATGCAGTTATGAAGAACGTCGTATAATGCCATTTTTGGCTTCGTAATGCTTTATAATGCTCGTAATGCTTCGGGTGGTGTATAATGCTCGATATAATGACGGCATTAGCCGCCAACACCTACCCCCCCCCCCCCCCCCCCCCCCCCCAAAGCCAAGGCCAAGGCCCATCGAGCACTCGGAAACTGTGATCGCATGCATGAGGAAACAGATTTTAGCACTTTTTCAGCTAAAAAAGCTCAAAAAGGGCGATATTCAGTAAAAACGCAAGAAAGGGCGAAAGAAACGGGCTATTCCAAAAAAGGGCCAAAAAGGGCGAAAAAAGGGCGAGCACCTTTGGGAAAGGGCTACCTCTGAGGCTCTGTCTCCAGATTGCAGCGCTAGCGGTGAATCACACCAGTGGCGATCACACCAGTGATCCATAATGGATCAAGCAGGTGCTGCATGATTGTGGTGATGTCACGTGATGACAGACTGCATGACTAATGTAGACATTCTACGTGTGCAGTGGAGGAGCTAGACACAATACAAATGTAGCAGGGCTAGATAGGGGAAGTCCCTAGCCCTGGGACGCTATGCCTGTGAGGCTGTGAGCTGACATGGACTAGAACTGTAAGAGTTAGTACAGAATTCACATGTACATGAGTCTACAGTACTACTTGCAGGTAAGTAAGTTGTAGGTCTAGGTACTCAGTTCCAAGTGACCCGTGACAAATGACAGTTAAAGGGGAAGTGCATCGATTTTTCGAGTATGGTCCAGAAGAAAGACAATTTGATATCGGTTCGAATGGCATATCTCTCGCTTCCATACGATAAGCCAAACTTGCCAAATCGCCAATTGTATGCTCACGTTGCCATAGCGACCAGCGCAGTGATGACGTACGAAAGGCTTAGCTCCACCACAGAGAAGGTCGATCACTGCAGAATTTGGTCATTTTCAATTGGTTTATTGTATTCACGAAGTGAAAGAAGGGCTGTGTTCAATGCTCTTAGTGCAATGAACTGTTTGTTAGTAGTCCTCTCGGTTGTGTACTGGAACGTGACACCGACAGGAGAAAGCTGGAGTGCGGAGACACCAGCAGACAAGCGAAAATAGTGACGAACAAAATGCTGAAATCTTGGTTGGGACAAATCAGACGTTCAGCATTTCCCCCAACCAAGGACCATGCCGTTTGCTCTTTTCACTTCCTGAAGATGAATGTGATGCTTCCTGGCGACTCTCCTATCTCTCGTAACATCTTCTGAAGCCAGGTGAGACGACGGGTGGCGGAGATTGACGAAAGGTTTGAAAGTTTGCTGAAAATTGTCTCAGGAGAGATGGCGAATTCCAAGCATCTTGTCCTGGAGGAAACCATTTCCTAGGCACAGTCAGCCTAGGGAAATGCATGAGAAGGGCGATAAATAGTTCACGGTACTAACAGCATTGAACACAGCACTTCTTTCACATCGTGAATACAATAAGACAATTGAAAATGACCAATTTCTGCAGTGATCGACCTTCTCTGTGGAGAAGCTAAGCCTTTCATACGTCATCACTGCTCTGGTCGCTATGGCAACGTGAGCATACAATTGGCGATTTGGCAAGTTTGGCTTATCGTATGGAAGCGAGAGATATGCCATTCGAACCGATATCAACTTCTGGACCCTACTCGAAAAATTGATGCACTTCCCCTTTAACCCTCATGCCACACAACAGAGACGAGCCTGTGGGGTGTCGCAAGCGTGTATTCCAGCGTGAGTAATCATGAGGCTCTGATCGGTAATCAAGTATGACGTACATGTACTCAGTATGAGGTCATGATTATAAATGATGTACACATATCACACATCAGAGAGGCAAGGACAGCAGAAGCGACCCGCGGGGTCCTGCGCCGTCAGAACGGCTATGTGTACTACTAGGTTGCTATGGCAGCGGAACACTAAATCTTAGAAAAAATGAATAGTTCAATGGTGCCGATGTGAGTGCACTATGCAGCGCCCATCGGCAGCACCCGTGCCTCCAATAAAGGTACCGAATGGCTTGCGACACGCAGGCTCTAGTAGTGCTGTGGAATGCCTGCGGGCCTGAGAATGTACGTGCGATATGCCCTGCTGGACCAGCGGCCTGCAGCCATCAGGGCATACTCTGGTGCGCCTCAATCCGCCATGTGTGTGGCTCCCCCGACGCGTAAGGAATGGCTGCTGATGCTTGGACCTAGCACTTTGTGTAGGACAGCATTGATGTCGTTCGGCTTGAGATGGCGACCATCCTGAAACTTGAATAGGGGTTGCTTGTCATTGCTCCATTTGCTGGACCGAACGTAAGCCTGCAGGGCTCGGACGGGACATAGTGCGGGGTCAGCGTAGCGATTCAGCGCTACCTCCCCGCCTGTTGCTAATTGAGACGTCTTCGTCCTCTGCAGCTGCAGAGAGGCCTCCTGCTGGGCTAGCCGGAGGTGTTCGTGCCTCAGCGTCTTGAGGCCGCCGGGACCGTGTGGTGAGAGCGACGTGTACTCACTCACACACAGCAGCAGGCCGTGGAAGGCTGTCGTAAGAGCAGCCCATAGCATTAGTCTGTCTGCAGGGGAGTACAAGGACCGATTCAAGAACTGGCGGAGAGCCTTCAGCTGGTGGATGGTGATCGCTTGGCGCTGAGGGCGTGTTGACGGATGTCTGGGAAGCGACGCTCTCTCCCTCTCTAAGCCCATGAGTAGGGCTGTGATGCGGCTTGAGGATGTAACCCCGACCGGGCCTCCCATGCGGAGGAGGTGGTATTTGATCGCGGCCAGGTAGACTCTCAGAGTGCTGGCGCTGACTGAGTGAGACATTGCGGCAGCGAACAGCAGGACGTCGTTCTGATCTGGGTGATGTGCGTCGCGGCGCATGCGACCCCTGAACTCCAGGAATGAACGCCAGCCTGGGGCGTACGTGCGCTGTGTGCCAGTGGCTACCGAGTTGGCAATCAGGTGCTCTGCTCGCGCTGAGAGAGCGGCGGCTAGCAAGCCTAGGAGGACACAGGCACAAGCGCATGCAACACAAACGCACACACGCATACGCCCGCACACGCGCATGTTTTCTAAACAGGCAGGATGGTACGGCGGCCAAGCTGCGGTGTATGCGTGCTGCGCCGGGTCGCTGAACAGCGGCCCGCTTCCCGGAACACACTGGCCCGGCGGCGTGGCTGTGGATTGTAAGCAGGGGACCCGTGGGCTATGCTAGTGGGAGATCTCCCCCTTGACCTCGGCGGGGCGTTCCTGTACTGGTTTGGCCGAGGTTCGCCCTCATCCTGTGGGGCTAATGCAAATACGACCCGAGAGCCCCCCTCCCCCAGCCCCGCGGGGTGGGAGCCTCTGCTATTGGCCTAATCCATAGGTACTTAGCCTTGCGGGTGGGCGCATGGGGGTGGCACGTAAGCGTTGGCTTGCGTAGCTGTGGCTTGCGGCGGTAAGCGATCCTCCGGCGGGAGGTGGACATCCGGCGGGATGTTATGCAAGCGGGGCTGGCGACCCTGGACAGACACACAGAACAAAAGACAGCAGGCAGCGAAGCCTTGGTTCGGTGGAGCCGTAGCTTGCAGCGGCAGTTTCTGTAATCGATTCTCCGGCGGGAGTTATATGTTCGGCGGGATGTAATGCGAGCGGGCTAGCGACCCTGGATAGACACACAGAACAATAGACAACGGGCGGCGAAGCGTTGGCTCGCGAAGCCGTTGCTTGCGGCGGTGGTGTCTGTAGGCGATCCTCCGGCGGGAGATATATGTTCGGCGGGATGTAATGCGAGCGGGCTAGCGACCCTGGATAGACACACAGAACAATAGACAGCGGGTGGCGAAGCGTTGGCTCGCGGAGCCATTGCTTGCGGCGGCGGTGTCTGTAGGCGATCCTCCGGCGGGAGGTGGACATCCGGCTGGATGTTATGCGCGCGGCTTGCAAGCCTGGATATACACGCAGAGCACAAGACAGCGAGCAGCTCCCCTGCCGCTGAATCAATGTCGATGCCAAGCACTGTGAGGCAGGTGGCGGGGCCAACAACTTTGTCCGGGCCGTCTGCTGTTGGGACGCCCAGTTTTGCAAAGACCTGCAGAATAGTGGCTTTGTGGGTCGTGGCCGCCGAGGACGTGACAGACTCGGCTGCTGGACACACTGAGACGAAGTCATCCAAATAGCGCTCCAGTGCAGGGATACTATAGTTCTTACGGAGGATCCATTCTAGGGTGGTAGCCAGGCAGTTAAACAGACTGGGAGCGGAGCGTAGGCCAAATGGCAGGACAGTGTCGATATAGTAGTTGCCATTCCACAACATACCGAGGAGCGGCCAGTCGTCGGGGTGCACGGGGCAGAGTCGGAAAGCGTGCTTCAGGTCCACCTTTGACAGGAAGGCTCCGGGGCCCGTCCTGCGCACGTGTTCTGCTATCGTGTCAATCGTAATTAGAGAGAAACGGTAGGCCTGCTTGTCAATGAACGAATTGATGCTGTTCCCATCGGGGGTGGACAGGTGCATGATGAGCCGGCGGCCGCCCGACTTCTTGGGGACCACACCTTCGCCTGAGGTGCGCAGACGGACGAATGGCGGCGCGTTGAAGGGGCCAGCAGTGTGGCCGTGACTGCATTACGTGGCCAGGTACTGGTCGACGACCTCGTGGTGTGCGCCCGCTGAAGACAAGTTCGGGGTGCGTACGGACACATACCGGGGTTCGGCGAACCCGATACGACAGCCGGCATGTATATTGCTAATTAGAGAATGAACAAATGCAGGATTAGGGTGCGTCAGCAATTCAGTGTGTAATGCATCAATATTGATAGGGGTGTTGGGGTGTACTGCAATGTTCATAGGGGTGTTAGGGGGTGGGTGAATGCAAGAAAGTGGTGCCGGGGCTGATTGCTGTTCGCTCTTATTTCTTGGCTGGACAGGCTGACACGGCGTGCGAGCCTGAGCAGAAGAGGCAGGCGTGTCGAAAGCGACATGGGCCGCTGCAGGCGCCGTGATTGTAGCGGCGGCAGATTTTGGTTGATTTAGTGCTTGCACTCTCTTTCGCCTGCTTGTCGCGAAAGGCCGAGGTGTGTGCTCCGGCCAAGTGCCCCACCTTCTTGCAAATGCTGCAATTGGGGAGGGCCTGTCCCGTGAAACAGGTCGCGAAAAGCTCCGTGTCGAGCTCCGCCAGGGATCAGCTTGGGTCCTTTGACTGGGCCTGGCGTGCCCGCGTGTCATAGTCCACGACTGCAGAGAAGCGGTACTTCCCGCCTGCCTGTACCATGCGTATTTGATGCTGCATCAGTGCAGCGGCGCAGCGAGGTTGATTGCGGATGGCGATCAGGCTAAAGATAGACCATGTCTCGGTCCACGTGGCAAGGTTCTCAATTTTTCCTTTTGGTGCGCTTGTCACCGAAATTGCCCCTTCCTCGTCTATGCAGAACCTCTTAGGGACTGGCTCCTCGGTAGAAATAGATTTGGGCAGGAGCAGTATTGCCAGATCTATATACTCGATTCGTCTGATCCGATCGACTGTCTCCAACGAGACATGCGAAATGCAGGAGGGGTAACCCATGTTCGTATGGTGCATGAATTCATCAGCACACATACCGTCTTCTTGGTGCTCCGTGACGTTCTCCGGTGCGTTGCCGCTGAGGGCTGCTGCCACGCTGGCTGCCACGATCTTCTGGATAGACTCCCTTTGTGCCTGCGAGAAAGCCATGGTGGGTGTAAGACTATCGCTGAGAGCGGAGAAGAGACAATTTCAAACAATTTCTGCGGCGGGGAGGCACAGCAAACAACTGGTGAATGTCTTTACTTGTTCCTGCCTTGCGAGGGTGGCCTTGGGTGAGCTTGCACCCAAGGCTAATAGGTGGCTTATACGACATGCCGTACGTACATCGCGGTTGCGAATGCTTGCGTGGGGCCCCGCGCGGGAGCCCGGCAGTGTGTACGATTTCCAAATGTTTTGGCTCAGCAACCCCTCTCCGCCACGAGTACACTGTATCTCAGATGGCTGACCGTAGCACACTGAAAATACCTTCCTACACCCCTGCATTAACAAACTGCTTCACGGCAAACACTGTTAGAAAGCAGGCTGCACAATGCCCTTATAAGGCAGAGCTTGACACACGGTAGGGAGCACAGAAACTGTATTGTGACAGGCTGTCTCACTGTTGTAGCTCGAGTTTGCTTTTGCAGCGCGAGTTTGCTTTTGCCGCTTTTCCATCTACGCAACCTACCGCACGCCTTAACCATCGTTGACAGTTTATTGGTATTCCGCTTGTTCTTGTAGTAATCGCCATACCAATTTGTTTTCGGTGAAGCACGAATGTTTGCTAAACTCGGTTGTTCCAACAGTTGCCCGAACCCCTCCCTTCCCCCCTCCCCCCTCCATTTGCACCGATAGCCTTGACAAATTGGTACCGCGTTTTACTTGTGTATTGCACGGTGTACTAAATCCAACCCATCATTACGACGGCCTGCCTACATGAGAGAGCGGGGCACAGACAAGCAATGTCATGTGCAAGCATGTATAAGTAGCGGCAAGAGTAGATTAACAAGAGTGTGCAACTCCGGATCTCTCCTGCACAATCTGCAGATACCCCCGCCCACGGCGGAATTTTTTGTTGACGTCACCTTTTTTCAGAAGAATGCGCATTTTGCTGCAGAGCAGTGTGAGAGCACATGCTGGGCACCGACTTTGTAGTGCAAATGCGGCCAAGTGCACGAGGGAAAACTTTCCGAAAGACTCATAGCGCGTGCGTCGTCGAAAAGATTACGTCAACAAAAAATTCCGCCGTGGGCCAACCCATCCGCGAGTTGCACACTCTTGATTATCTACTCTTGGTAGCGGGCATGCAGCCCGTTGGTCGATACGAAACGTGATTTAGCGTTACAGTGTCCAGTGTTGTCTCCCTATATTATTATTAAGCCACGACCTCGGGTGTACTCGTATGCTACATACATGTGCAGTTGTGCTAAATTTAAATCCGACCAAAAATGCCAAGCTGGCGCCCTCAACCTGCACCGGCTTTGGTTGCCTGGAAGTGGCACGAATGTGGCTGGACGTACACCTGCACCGGCCTTGGTTGCCTGGAAGTGGCACGAATGTGGCTGGACGTACACATGTAAAGATACAGTACATGTGCAGATGCAATGATGTAAACTGTGATAGGAACTGCTCCAGGCCGCCAGCTTTGTACTTTGGGTCGTATTTCAGTGAGCACAGCAACTGTAGCATACTAGTAGGTTTTGTATGATGCAGTGCATGTTCTGTTTCAATTCATTTCCGTGTTTTTTCATCACTTTATTTCAACACGGATTTCAGTGCTCCGGTTTGCGAAGACCAGCTCTCCCCCCCCCCCCCCCCTCTCTATGTTTGTTCGAGGGGCATTCAAGTCATGCAGTTATGTGATTACAGTGTAACATTCACGTTTCCTTGTAAAACGTGTTCAGATACGAAGTTTGACTGGTACACAGTTCCTGGGTGCCTGGGTAGGTCTACCTGGGCGAATTATCTGTCCAGTTGTACTAATCTTGTACATAGTCCAACCGCTATCTTCAAACACGCAGAATTTTCTTTCAACGTTTCCTCGTTCTAGCATTGCCAGATTACTGAGCAGCCAGCGTGTGGCTGTGAGCGTTGACACGTACACCCTCCGTTTCTTACCGTGTTGTGGAGTGACTTCACTGCACGGTGCACTTGACAATCCGTGTTCTGTGTACCATCATCATGATCATCTCATGTCCTCCTCTCTTGAAGCTTGGTCTCTCTGGCTCTCCAACAGTCACAGAACTGACTGTACATCCACTGACAGCAGCAGCAGTGGCAGCGGAACAAGCCCTGCAGTAGATCTGCAATAAACCCGAGGAACAAGCCCTGCAGTAGATCTGCAATAAACCCGAGGAACAAGCCCTGCTGTAAATCTGCACTAAACATGTGTTCTGGGTTCTTGCCATACAGCAAAGGCAAACTGTCGCCACTAGAATGAAGTTCTGAAAAAGCCACTGAAATGATTATTCTGCTGCAGAAAAGAGAACATGAAACTCACTGATCCGTTCGCATATCCAGGAACGCATCGACTTTCACTGATACGGACACAATTGTATGGAAAATGCTCTATAAGGAATCGAAACTTGTAGTCTCGGCAAGTTTCTATCGACTCTCGTATTTCGATTCTAGCGCAGACATACAATACGATTATGTATCATGCCAGTCACGGTACTACTAGTACAGTACTAATACTACTAGTACTAATACTACTAGTACTAATACTACTAGTACTAATACTACTAGTACTAATACTACTAGTACTAATACTACTAGTACTAATACTACTAGTACTAATACTACTAGTACTAGTACATGTAGCACTAGCAGGTACATGTACAGCACTGGTCTTTGCGCTTGTCGAGCGAGCGGGAATATCTAGCCATTCTAGGTCATCCAGTCGCAAACAAGATCCCTATGTGCATCAGAGGGGCTCGCTCTGCATACCATCGACCGGTAAATGCATTGCGCCCACTAGCCATGGCTGAGGGACGGATGTAACAGTGCTGTGTATAACCTCGCTAATGGCAGTGTCCTCAATGCTAATGGACGCGTCATGTTTTTGTTTATAATTTAAGGTGCAATTTAGCGCTGATGTGGGTATTTCTTTGCTTTTCTTCATTTGGTCCTTTAAAATGAAGCGGCTTTATATTTCCTTTTTCTTCTTTTGCACCGAGATATTATTTCTTGCTGTTATAAACCGGATGTGTCACGACTTTGAATTGAATTGAATTTTCCTGAATTGATTTGATTTTTAGCGTTATGAGCGGCTTTATTGACATTGCTCTTCAGATTGTATTTTTTATTTTTTATTGGCCCGTAAAAGAGGCTCCTTTGCGTTTTTTACCAGATCCCTTACGGGTGCGGACACGGGGAAATCCCTTGAATCCCCTGCACTACACAGTCATAATGATATCCCGCCCTGATCATGACAAGTAACGCACGCGCACGTACAGTTCTGACAGGGCTAGGCCAAGGCTAGGGCTAGGGCCAGGGCTAGCCTAGGCAAGGGCCCGGTACTACGGTAGGGGCATCAGATCGACCTCATGAATGTCAGAATGAAGTAGCGCCACCGTTCCAGCGCAATGAACAGTGTGTGTGTGTGCGCGCGCGCGCCCGCGTGCGTGTGTGTGTTTGTGTGCGCGAGTGCGTATGTGTGTGTGTGTGAGGTGCAAGGGCCATGTAACGAGGCCTGGCGCAAATATTCACGAGGCCCAATTCTTTGTCCATGGTTGCTGTCACTCTCTCCTTTGTAGCTTGGTTTTATTTCACCCACTCTATATCTCTGGCTCTCTGCTGCTTTGGAGATGGTAAGTTTTGATATACATGTACATGATGTAAGAAAGAACCAGTCAACCACCATCATAGCTATGTACCAATACTGGCTAAGAGCAAGTCAACCCGTGACCATCATAGCTATGTACCAATACTGGCTAAGAGCAAGCTTCACTTGATACAAGTGAAATCCGGGTAGCTACGTACACAATAGGACTTAGGAGTCTAGCTAAGCCCATTTCTGCGTTTGTCACAAGCACCAAGTCGTTGCTAGGGTTCCCAGTAAAAGGCAACGCCTGTTGGGAGTTCCCTAGTAAAAAAATAAATTCTGCTACTACTCAAGCTGCGGACAGAACTGTTTCGTTCTTCAAGTTGTGGACTCATCCGCGCAGCACAGAGAAAACGAGGCCGAACCTGATAACAATGAAAAATACATTTTCCAAAGCCAGAGGCCCGGGTTTACCTTGCCAGAGTGCTCAAACTGACAAGTCAGTGAGCTCAGCACAACGCAAACAGAAAATGCACTACCGCACATGAGAGTGCTCAAATTGACAAGTCAGTGAGCTCTGGATAACGCAAACAGCAAAGGCACTACCCAACACGAGAGTGTTGAACTGCTACAAGAGCAGGAGCGAAATACTCAAATTCTACTAGCTACATTGTAGTCTATTACTACTAGCTACATTGTAGATAGGATGAGAACTATACGATGTCATGATAATGTGTACTATCAATACAAAACTATCAACTGCAGCATACATGCCATACATGATAATGTGTACTATCAATACAAAACTATCAACTGCAGCATACATTATTATTATTATTATTATTATTATTATTATTAGCAAGCGAGGGTCCCTGGTTCGAGTCCTGGTGGTGACAGTCGATTTTTTCTTCAGACTTTTCCCGTTTGTCTCTTTCCCTCAAAACCAGTTAGTATTTTATGACTTGGGGCTCCCCGCGTGCTAGTTTGTACGTGAAGTGTGTGGGTACAGTGAGGGCTGCGTCCCACCCGCCTGTGTGGATTCACAGGAAGTGTGAGTTACGAAGTCTGAAGAAAACGTTGAACGGTCTCTGCTTGGATGACGACTACACCATAGCTCAGTGGTTAGAGCATCGCTGGCTACAAGCGAGGGTCCCTGGTTCGAGTCCTGGTGGTGACAGTCGATTTTTTCTTCAGACTTTTCCCGTTTGTCTCTTTCCCTCAAAACCAGTTAGTATTTTATGACTTGGGGCTCCCCGCGTGCTAGTTTGTACGTGAAGTGTGTGGGTACAGTGAGGGCTGCGTCCCACCCGCCTGTGTGGATTCACAGGAAGTGTGAGTTACGAAGTCTGAAGAAAACGTTGAACGGTCTCTGCTTGGATGACGACTACACCATAGCTCAGTGGTTAGAGCATCGCTGGCTACAAGCGAGGGTCCCTGGTTCGAGTCCTGGTGGTGACAGTCGATTTTTTCTTCAGACTTTTCCCGTTTGTCTCTTTCCCTCAAAACCAGTTAGTATTTTATGACTTGGGGCTCCCCGCGTGCTAGTTTGTACGTGAAGTGTGTGGGTACAGTGAGGGCTGCGTCCCACCCGCCTGTGTGGATTCACAGGAAGTGTGAGTTACGAAGTCTGAAGAAAACGTTGAACGGTCTCTGCTTGGATGACGACTACACCATAGCTCAGTGGTTAGAGCATCGCTGGCTACAAGCGAGGGTCCCTGGTTCGAGTCCTGGTGGTGACAGTCGATTTTTTCTTCAGACTTTTCCCGTTTGTCTCTTTCCCTCAAAACCAGTTAGTATTATTATTATTATTTCTAATTTTCTTTCACCGCCCACGGCCGCACAAAGTCCTTGGCTACAAAAAAAAAATTAAAGTCTCTCCAAAATCTCTCAAAACCAAACTTCAAACTCCTTTCCAAATTTTCGCCCAAGAGGGCATCTTCAGGGATATGTGACTCCTGTGAACAAAACAACAATATAACTACAGAAAAAGGGTAATAACAATAACGTGGCAATATACCAGGAACATCATAACTAGTGCTAAGAATTGAGACTAACATTGAAGATAATGTCACATATTCAGAAACAAAAACAGAACCTACCCACAATATCGCACGCCAGGTAATAACCTAAAAACAAATGTCTCAACCTGCAAGATCTCAAGTCAGGTGATGATGGGTCAGCGTGAAGTGCATGTCTCAACTGGTGTGATCGCCAATTAGATGTGAAGGTGACGAGGCCAGAAAGAGAGAGAAAGAGAGAGAGACAGAGGCAGAGAAAGATAGTGTGTGTATGTATGTGTTTGTGTGTGTGAGTGCACGTGTGTGTGTTGTGTGCGTACGTGTGTGTGTGTGAGCGTGCGTGTGTGTGTGGGGGGGGGGAGGTGTGCGTGAGTGCGAGCCTCACGGGTGGTAATTGCATCCATTCGATGAGATGGTCTTGCCCACAGTAACCATGAAGGTCCTGTTGTCTTGATGAATTTATGCCGATAGTCTCCATCCAGTGTCACAGTTGATTGCTGGCTTTCTGCTTCTGATTTCGGTTGCTTCCATGTACTTGCGGGAAGGCAGCGAAGACTCCCTGCCGAGAATCTTGGCGTGGTGGAAAGGCTGAAAGTTAGGCGATGTTTTTTTAGCAAATTCTCGGTGGTCAGACTTGTAATGACCCCCCCAGGGAGTCTTCACTGCCCTCACCCTTGCCTCTCGATAATGTTCCTTGAATCTTTCCCTCACTGGACGCTCGGTTTCCCCGACGTAGAGCTCTTCGCACAATGTACATGACATACAATAGACTACATTTTTCGTCAGACATTCACTGCTCTTCACATCCGCGTCGCATGCTCTGCACACCATTGGCCTGCCAGGACCACGCTTCACCTTCGCACGCTGCACATCACGCGGACACATACGCGTACCAAACGACGAACGGACAAGTCTACGCTTCAATGACGGACCAGACGTGAAAGCAAGACGAACATCTGGACTATACTGACGAACACGGCGAGAAACCCGAGCGGCCAGTGCATCATTGATGAATGGGAGCTTGAGAATTGATTTATTCGGCTTCTTCCATGGATTCATCTTGCCACGATTCGGTTTCTTTGCTGTTTTAACTGCCCGCTGAATTTCTCGATCTGGATAGTCGTTGGCTTCCAGTAGCGCTGTGATTTTCTGGATTCCAGCTCCTCTTCCCGCCTCCGTTGAACCGTTGGAGATTGCCCGACGACACTGATTAACTGCGACTGCACGCTTTGTTGACAAAGGGACAGACGACAGGAATGACAGGTGAACTCCGCTGTGTGAAGGCTTGACAAACAGCTCCCACTCCAACGTACACTCGGGACTGACACTCAACGTCAAATCCAGGAAGTCGATGCTCCTGGTGTCGTTGTCGGAGTGTGTGATGGTGAATGTTATGAAGGGGTGTTGGTTGTTGAGATGGGCAACAAACCTGCTCAGAGCCGCTCGTCCATGTCGCCACAGCATGATTATATCATCGATGTAGCGCTTGAAAATGCAGGGCTGAAATTCAGCAGAAGACAGGGCTGCATTCTCAAGCGCTGACATGAAAATAATGGCCAATGGCGGCGCCAGATGGTTGCCCATGGCGATTCCCTTCAGCTGTCGGTACTGCTGATTGTCGAACTCGAATATGTTATTCGTCAGGATGAATTGGAGGGTATCTTGGACATCCTTCACACTCAGACCCAACATATCGACATCCTCGCGGTGCTCCTCCAGTAATGTGGTCGCAGCTTCAATGGCGTCAGCGATCGGGATGTTGCTGTAGAGGC